TGCTCACAAAACTCCACACCTTAGAGGGAACATGGGTGTGTATATATATATTCAGTTTGTTATGCCAGCTGCATGAATGAGGCAAGTCATCAGTCTTGGTGGGGCAATAAGCCAGACCCAGGAAGCTTCCTGGTTACTCTTCAGACCATGACTCAAACCCAACAGCTCACCCCCTTGCTATGGAACATTTAATTAGCTCCAACATTAAGTTACTTGCTGTACTGAACATAACTCTGATACCATCCCCATCCAAGGTGTTTACCATCCCCATTCAAAGATATTTTAGCACTAAGGAAGCCAAAATTGGGTTGTAGATTGAAATTTATGCATTGTTTATCTTTTTTTAATGGTATTTCACATCATCTCATGCATCAGATGAGGCAAAAGGGTCATCACAGATAAAGAAACAATTACAAAAAATTAAAAGAATAATGGATCCAGTCAATTATTTTACTCAGTTTCATCCAATTCTCCTCCTTTCTACAGTCCCCATCCAACATGGATTTTGTCCATACAGGTCCCATGATCCCTGGCCTAGCCTTCTTTCTTTTCTTTCTTTTTTTGTTCTTTCCCACCAATAGAAAATTTAGTTGGATCCAAACCTATGAGCACGAAGGCCCATAATGTTAAAGTTATTTTGTGAAAGTAATGTGGTTTTATATCCAGTTATTATCTGTCAAATTACAATTGAATCAAGAAGTGCACAGTTGTGCCATGTACACACTCCAGGAATCCTTTGTGATTCCTTTGTGAAAATATGAAACTGCTCTGTACTGCCTCAGACCAATGGTCATTCCACCCATCAACTCTGTTTGGTAGTTGCTCTTCAAGGGCTTTCTGCAGAGTCCCCCCCACCACCACCCAACCAGGCTATGTCTGATCTTTTTAACGGGAAATGCTGGGGAATGAACTAAACTCAGAACCATAACCATATAAAACATACACTCAACCACTGACCTTCCTTTCCCTGTCTTACCCCCAAATTGCATCTTTAAGTCTCCTGAGCTTTAAAAAGCATATTAAAATGTCAATGCACATGAAAGAGAAGCACAGATTAAAAATTGCATAATAGTGCCATGATAATTTCCTGTTAAGCTGTTCTCACATAATGACAGTTCCAACATTTACCTTGTTTGTAATACCAATTTGCTGACCTCATAATGCTCAGGTATATATTACAAATAACATTATTTCCCTGAGAAGTTCCAAATAGATTCATAAGCTAAAATGAGATTCTGCATGTATGCAGAATGTGTTTTTTAGTTTACACCTATTTTATTGAAGGGGGGGGGACTCAGACGAAGCAAACTAATGTTCCCATAGAATAATTTTTAAGTCTGCAGGGGAATATTCAGAAAAGTACACTAAAACTTGGGGGGAGGAACATTTCTGAATGGATCTTTAGTCGAGAATAGTGATAACATGGATGTTAGGGCCCCTTTTTAAGGAGGGTAGTGGGAACAGTTGCTCCTGTGATGCCACATTACTCCACAGCATACTTCAGTTTTTGAATGGGCCATGTCTTTTTCCTTCCAGGACAGAACCCTATTAAATGAAAATGTGACCCCAGAATCAAGAATAATATCCGTGTGTTGTATCTGCCCCATGCTCCATTTAGTAGGACATGGCCCTCAGTGGGAGGATCTGTTATTCGACTTGGAAAGTAGATGAACCTAATCTATTAGCTCCCTCCCTCCTTCCTTCCTCCTCCTCCAGCCTAGCTGGAGTCAGCAGCAGAGAATATTTGCTGGCTCCACTTGAGTTCTTGATATGTGGTGTTGCCTTTTTTTAAAAAAAAAAAATCCCATTGCCTTCGGATCCAAAAACTACAAAAACAATGGGAAGATGCCATTTGAAGAAGGATCACTGTGTTTACAAATGAACCAAACAGTATTTTTCTTTTGAGATTTTTGAGATTTAAAATCTCCATACAGCTGTATTGATTTGTGATGTCCCTTAGAGCTCGTTTTGTTTAAGAACGTTACATGTATATTTATTTGTTTTCAACTGAGAAGAAATGACACTGACTAGGATGCATGGGGAGGGGCTTGATTTAACAGCCTCACCATTTCCGAGTCTGTTTAGAATTCTAATGAGTTCTGGATTTCTCATGTGTGTTTTTTTTCCCCATGGATGTTTGCTTATTTCTTCCCAGTGGGGACCCAAGGCAGCTTACACTGTTCTCCTCTCCTCCATTTTACTATTACAACAGACCTCTGACATAAGTTAGGCTGAGTGGGTGTGACTGCTCCAAGGTCACTGGGCAAGCTTCTGTGGCAGAGTGGTGATTTGAACATAGATTTTCCAAATGGGTAGAAGTGTGTCCATCATTAAGATTATACCACTCAGAAACAAGCACACATTCACACATAAAGAGGTGGTGACATGAATGCCACTTATTTTAAACCAAACAACTCTGTGTGTCTCTCAGATGTTTGTCTTCTGTTCTAGAAGCAAATTTAAAGTTAACTGAATGCTACTCTTTGAATATATCACTAGTTTGATGATATTGTATGATTTATTTGAAGATCTTTGAGCAGTTTGTCAAGACCAGAATAAGAGAAGAATACAAGGAAAAGAAAAATAAATTACTACTAGCCAAAGAGGAATTTAAAAAACTGCTGGAGGAATCAAAATTATCACCCAGGTATGCAGATTGTTCTTGAAAGTCTTCTAAATGAAAACGCTGGCTAGCTTTAGCTTGTGTTCTGGTGACCTAGAAACCCACACTGTATCAAATGTGGATGTTCACAATTTACAGCTTTATGTGCAATACATCACATCTTGCTGTTGTGGGTAGACTTGTGCAAAGAGCATAATAATGAATGGAGTCTGCATGTCAGCTGTGCTCCTGTGTTGTAAAACTAAGACCCAGTCTACCCATAAAGCAGAATGAGGTTACAAAGTCCTGATGTTGGAAGTGTCATTTAAAAAAAAAAATGATTCCCTCTTTTTTCAAAATTATCCTTGCCAGAAAAAAACCTAGTATTTAAATTGCCAAGGAATCACGGCATAAAACAGCCCTAAGCAAAATACACACTCCATAGCCTGTGTAACTCATAATCATACTTGTATGTCATATATCATCCTATTCTATACCTTAATGATGCAGAAAGGACTAAATTTTGTGGCCAGAATCAGTTCTGTACATTAAATATTCACATATTTATATTGAGCATACTGCTTGATGGTCATAGTCACAAAATATTCATATTTTAGTTCACTGTCAACACTATCCCAAGAGCCCTTTCTTGCAAGTAAGCCCTACTGAATAGAGCTGAGTAGAATTCTGAGTAGACATATTTAGGTTTGCTCCTTAAATATCCAAGACAGTTTTATAAAATCAAGACCTAATTTGTAGCCATATCATAATGTCATCGACCTTATCCATCTCTGTTACTTCACTGTATTTAATACTCTGGCCATTAAAAAATCCATCTTACTAGTTTATTTTGCTATTAAGTAGGAAGCCAGTTGCAGATGTGATTAGCACTCCCAGCATGCTTAAGTCCAGTAACTAGGATATGAGTCTTTATAATGTAAAATCACTAAAGTATTTTTGTTGTCGATCTTTTGACAAAACCCAAATTACATTGACTCAAGAATATATTATTAGCACTTTCCCTGCACTGTAAAAATCCATGTTTGAATTGTTGCTTGCTTGCTGTTCTTAGCTTAGTTCCTTAGCTTTTTACCATGTGCCAAATGAGAATTACAAAGTTTAGAAAATGTGAATTCTATCTTTTCTAACTTGTAAATCATCAAGATTAAGTGGTCTGTTCTTAATTTTAATGTAGTTTATCTGATGGAGATAAGTAAAGATACAAAAGTTTGATTATTTACAATAATCATGCAGTTCTGCCTGCCTGGGCGTAAACTAATGCATTTTCAGCTTCTGTTGACGGTATAATTATAAACCAAATGGAAAATACTCTAGAATAATGTGATAGCTGAACAAGAATGGCAGAAGCCAATTTGTGTTCCTTTTTTTACAAAAAGAAATCCTCACTTGAAACTCTTGCAGCATCCATTGCCAACATGAGAGACCAGGATTTCATCCATGCTGAGTTTGCCTAGTTCCGCTATGCTTTTTAGCAAAAAAAAAGAAGTAATATTCTCTTTGTTAAACATTCCTTGGCCTGCTTCTGAAACTGCAGTGAGAACACAGTGAAGAAAAGCTGGATTCCAAAGTGATTTCATGCATCATAGAGAACAAATGCTGCTATAAAATGTGGACAGAAAGCCCCACATGCACCCTAGCCTGCATCAGACCAGGGTGGTAGTAATAAGAAACAGGAAAAAGTTGGCTGGGCAGTAAACTGGCAATTTTCAGCTTATTTTTCCAAGCACCTTTCTTCCAAATGGAGGCAAACCATTGCTTATCTGGAATGACAGGAAGGCAAAATGATGCTCCATCCCACTCAGCTCAGAGTGAAAACTTCTCTCCATCTCTCTGACTAGTGATAATTGCCCCAACCCAACTGAGCAATTATGTGGGGGGACATTGGGCTGGATGCTTCAGCTCCCCGTCAGCAAAGACTGTGAGGCAGAAGTTGGGCAGAAAGACCCTCTCATACATCTTCACAATGACCCCATCAGTGGCTGAGATGAAACAGGGGGCAGAAACCATCTCTATCCACTAGTCAGAGAAATGGTAATGGCCTTCCTCCCCCACAGTCCAGTCTGTGGTCTTCCCCAGTCCACATTGTCTTAGCAAGGGGTCCTTTCCTGCAGGAGCGCACAGGAGCGGAGCTCTGGCAGTAAGGAACCCAGGGGGCGGGCACATGCAACAAGCCCCACCCCCTGTTCCCAGCAGCCCTCAGTCAGGCAACGAGGAGCAAGAAGCAGCCAGGTAAGATGCAGAGACACACACACACACCCCGGCCTGCCTTCAGGTACAAGCTCTCCCTCCTCTGTGAGGGTAGATCTGCACATTCCCCCCCACACGCAATAGCTAGCAATCCAAAACAGTCCAGTGGCACCTTTAAGACCAAGTTTTATTCAGGTACAAGCTCTCCTTCCTCTGTGAGGGCAGATCTGCACATTCCCCTCCACATGCAATAGCTAGCAATCCAAAACTGTCCAGCAGAGCCTGAGCGGTGGGTGTTGCCTTCTGACACACTTCCAGTGATGTCTGGGGGTGTGGCATAAGTTATGCTAATGAGCTCCTGCACCTCTTTTTCTACAAAATGACCCCTGGTCTGTAGAATAGAAAGTGGGTGATGGTAGCAATTATTTGAACACCTTGCTGGCTCTGTGGGATAGGGCTTCCCTGTCTACCATGTGCAGTCATGAGGAGGACTTTATATCAGGATCTCAAAAATATACTTAAAATCAGCTTTCCCCTCTTTTTTAATGTTGTAATATGGGGCCTAATGAAGAATTTTGGGGGAACGCAAATCTTGTGTCATAAAATATAGTACATGGATCAAGGACTGAGAGTGGGAAGAAAGCAGAAAAAAGTCCAGGGTCATTGCTTGTGTTCAGGGCTTTCCGTTCCTGTTACTGCCTCCTTAAAGGTTCTGGCACCCATTGCCTTCAAGCAACTATTCAAATGATAATAATAATAAGATATTGGATTTATACCCCGCCCTTCCCTTCCTGAAGGCATCTGAGCATCTTAACAATCTCCTTTCCCTTCCCCTCCCCACAACAGACACCCTGTGAGGTAGGTGGGACTGAGAGAGCTCTCTCAAGAACTGCTCGTGAGAGAACAGCTCTGAATGAACTTGTAACTGACCCAAGGTCACACCAGCTGCTGCAAGTGGAGGCGTGGGGAATCAAACCCAGTTCTCACAGATTAGAGTCCACACTCCTAACCAGTACACCAAACTGGCTCTATACCAAATAGCCCTGTACTTTTGGTCCATTCCATAATAACTATGAGGAGCTATAGCCAGTTTAAAACATGTTCATGGCCTAAGTTTTGTCAAGTTCAAGGTGCCCCATAGCATTAACAAAAGTTTGGTGTAGTGGTTAAGTGCACAGACTCTAATTGGGAGAACTGGGTTTGATTCCCCACTCCTCCACTTGCAGCTGCTGGGTGACCTTGGGCAAGTCATAGTTCTCTCAGAGCTGTTCTTGAAAGAGCAGTTTCTGTCAGAGCTCTCTCAGCCCCACCTACTTCACAGGGTGTCTGTTGTGCGGAGGGGAAGGGAAAGGAGTTTGTAAGCCGCTCTGAGACTCTGAGTGAAGGGCAGGGTATAAATTGAACCTCCTCCTCTTCCTCCTCCTCCTCCTTTTCTTCTTTGTGATTCTTAGTGGGGATTTTTTAATTTGAAATGCTCATAATTTGATACCCTTAACTGTAGCCTACATGGCTTATGCATGAATGTAGGTCTGTGAGGAGCTCAGGAATTCTTGGTTCTTTGACATAAAATATACATTGTGTCCCACAAGTAGGTTCCTGGGGAGGAAACATTTCTGGGGTTTTAAATGGATCATGAACTTAGCATTTGATAATCCTAATTATCTGTGCTATACACAGACTATTGCTCAGAGTTCTGACATTCTGTTAGTTATGTATTTATCTGTGCTAAGTTATGGCTGCAACTTTCTCCTTTTTCAACCCATGGCAAAGATGCCCTTCCCGCCCCACACACTCAATTAGGAGTCACAAGATTTGTCACTATAGTGACTGTGCAGTCCCCTGCAGACTGTTAGTCTGACAAAAGTCTCTGTCCTCAAATCTTCACAATATTAGGGGAAGGAAGAAAACCAGCCAAAAGTAAGTGCTGGTGGAAAGCTTAAGCTAAAGAACAATTTATGATCTAATTTTTTTGAGAGTCCCATGTAATTACACTGGATGATCCTCAGTGAACTAATTATTAATCAAGCTTCCCAGAATCAATACAGGTATATGTGTTCTGTGGAATGGAAGTAATGACTCAGAATAAAATGTCAAGTAGATCAATGAGTACTGAGAACTTTGACTTTCTTGTTCTGCTGCCATCATTGCTGGTGGCACTGTGACACAGTCACAACCTTTTCAGTACAAAGAGGTAGAAAGTATATATGAAGGTAGAAGTATATGAAAATGTATTTATGAGCATAAAGCCCTGTGACATCATAGCTTATGGTTATCCCTTCTTTCCCAAGGACAACATTTAAGGAGTTTGCAGAGAAATATGGCAGAGATCAACGGTTTCGTCTCGTTCAGAAGAAGAAAGACCAAGAGCATTTTTTCAATCAGTTCATACTTATTCTTAAAAAGAGAGACAAAGAAAACAGAATACGGCTACGGAAAATGAGATAAAAAAAGAGAAATTTGCAATAAGAATGCAAATCAAATACTGAGGTTTCTACGGTGGACAAAAATGAAGGGCATGCGTTATGTGTCATCTCTTTTGAGTTCGTATCCCAGCAATTTTAAGAAAAGGCAGATAACCTCAAGAAGGTTCAATGAACGCATGTTAAGTTTAAGGCTGCACTGCAGGAATCTGTAGGATATTTCATTCTCAGAGACTTAATGTTTCATATTGAAGCTCTCTTTTTTACAACATTCAAGTTTGATGCATTTCTAATTACCATGATATGTCAGTCCCTTAATTGTTTTAATTATGCAAATTACCTGTAATATACACAAATTCTAAATCCAATGTGATTTGTAATTAAGCAGCAACAGCTGCCATCCATAACATTCGCAGGACATTATTTTTAACCATGTAAAACAGTTCACTGAGGCTGCAGTCCTGTGCACACTTACTTGGAAGTATATCCAGTGAACCCAGTGGATCTTATTTCCAGGTCACCATGCTTAGGAGTGCACCACTGCAATGTTTTTTCAGCTTTGTACATTAAACATGAACGGTTCAGAGGTCCAGTGAATTGAGGATATCATTACTCAGTGTTCATAGGTCTAAGTCTAGTTTTCTGAGTAGTAGTAGTAATAGGGTATTAATTGTAAACCATAGTGAAGAGTGTGAATATCTTGGCACCTTTCCCGTAGAACAATGTATAAATCTTAATTAAAAAAAGAAAGAAATGAGTTTGTAAGTAAATTATTCTGGATGGTGCTCCAAGCACACTGAAAAGAGCGGCACTTCTCTATTAAAAGCTACTATAAAGAAGTTATTTTGTAAACCCATCCTACTAATATTTGAGTTATTTTTATTGTATGCAAAGAGTTTGCATGAGATTTGTCTCATCTTTGTATAAACAAATATTTTAACTTTTTTTTAATTAATAAATATTTTAAGACTATTTGTCATTTTGGTTTGTAAAAAAATGAAACCATCTCTGAAAAAAGAGTCAATGGGAATGATGTCTTAAGACCTGGTATCTGGGGGATGCAGCCTGGGATCTCTTTTGACTTTCTACATCATTGACAGGACTCTAGGGTTGCCAGGTCCTTACCAGCTACTGGCGAGGGGCTCCAGTCTTCTTGGCTGGATCTTGTTCGGAAGTGATGTCATTGCGCTGGTATAAGTAAAATTAGTCTTGATTTTCAGGCAGGAAAACTTTTGTAATTGAGAAGGCAGCTTGATGACTCCAGACCAACCAGGCCTTATGTGGATCCTAGATACTTGAGCAAGTCTCAGGACAGGCAGCATATAAATTTTTCCAGTACATAAATATAAGCCTAGCGTTCTCCACTTATCTGGACAACATAGAATCCCTTCTGCTACTGCTGTTTAGCCTGCAGGTTAAGTTTCAGCGGAGCTGTGGTGGCTCAAGTGGTTAAGTTGCTGAACTGCAGACTGTGGAAGGTCAGTTCGAGGTTCAGCAGTTCAAGACCCAAGTGTGCCGCATGATGGAGTGAGCTCCCGCCTCTAGTTCCAGCTCCTGCCAACCTAGCAGTTCGAAAGCAAGAAATTGCAAGTTGATAAATAGGTACCACTACAGTGGGAAAGTAACAGCATTCTGTGTGCCTTGGTATTTAGTCATGCCGGCCACATGACCACAGAAATGTCTTCGGACAGCGTTGGCTCTTCGGCTTTGAAATGGAGATGAGCACTGCAACCCCAGAGTCGGATTCGACTGCCTTTCGAGCAAGGGAACCTTTACCTTTTATGTTTCAGCAGCTGTTCTTAAAGACCACAGGGATGGAGAATATAATTATATATGTGATCATGCACTGGATGCCCATTTGTTTCCAGCACAATTCAAAGTGCTGGGTCTTACCTTTAAAGCCCTGCTCTCTGGGGCCAGGGTACTTGAAGGACCACCTCTCCCCATATTGTCCAGCCCACCAGTTATGATCTTCCTCTCAAGACCTGCTCTCTGTGCCCCTGCCTTCAGAGGTAAGGTGCGTGGCAACCAGAGATAGTGATGTCACCTTGCCTGTGGTATGCCCTGCCCCTTGAGGCTCCCTTGGTGCCTACATTGCATTTGTTTAGATGCCAGGCTTTTTAGTAAGGGGGCGGATTTTTTTACATAAATTTTAGACTGGAAACTGATGTTTTAAGCTCCCTGTGGTCTGTTTTTATGATCTATGATTTTATGCTGGACTGGAGGTTTTTTAAATGTTTGGTTTAAATTAATATCTTTTTGATATTTTGTTTTTATTGTTTTTTATTTTGTAAGCCGCCTCAGTCTGGTAATTGGAGAGGCAGCATAATGTTGTTTTTTTCTAAATAAAAGAAATAAATACTGTGTCTGGATTTGGTCAGCCACTGCCCTAGATGAAGTGACAGATTCACTGTATAACCATTTTCCTGTTTCTTAAAATTCTGGTATGTTGCCTTCCTTCACAAGGTGGATCCAAGGCAGTTAACATTTTATGCAGCAGCTCGTCATATAAATTAGTATTTCCCAAGCCATCACAAACAATCAAAAGTGTGGACCTGATCCTCATTCTTCCATTTCAATTGGCTACTCTGAAGCTTTTTGACTGTCTGGGATCAATCTTCCTTGAATTCAAGCACATGGGCTTCTAAATACAAAGAGCAAATATGAATACAAATGAATACAAAGGGCAAATAAGGTGATATCGCTATCAAGTCTTACAGTTCTAATTGTACTCAGATCAAAAGAAAGAGGCAGGTAAGTATTGTGGAGGAGTGTACTTAATGAGCTCAGCAGCATCTTGTGAAAAAAGCAGACTTTGCCTGGGAACTGAAGACATTCTGTTGCCATTCCTTAGATCTAGTTTTACCCACTGACGCTTTTGTAGTTGTTTCTTCCTCATTTCCTTTGAAGAATTAAGCTTTTCACTTGGACAACAACAGTGCAGTTTTCTTGGCTCAGAGTGCCGAATAAGAAGAAAGAATATATTTATCTTTAAAGAGCATTAGTAGTAAAAATAGCAAACATCCGAGGAGGATCTCACTGTAAAGGCAGGAGGTTTTTTGTGTTAATGTTTGTGTTTTGTTTTGATTAAAATTTACTTCCTATAAATTGTTATTTTCCTCCCCAAAGAAGACGGTATTGATTTAATAATGGTGGGGAAATGTTATGTAAGCAGCCAGAGGTCGGACATCAAAAAAATACAATGCATTTTTCATGTATTTACAAGAGTAAAAAAAAATAGACATAAGACTCTTTTTGCACAAAGAGAATCCTAGGCATGTTCCCGCCAGCCCTTGATTGCATTTCATCTATAGATTGCTGGCTATGGTAATTGCTGGTAGGCACAAGAATTTACGGGAACTCTAACTTCTTGGTGGTGCTGCAGCAGAACTGTGAGTAAGCACTGATATCATTAATAAAAGAGAAAGGAAAATCTATTTCTTCCTGAGTGTGATGGAGGAGGCTGATTAAAGAAAACACACAAACAGAAAACTTATACTTTACTGGCCTCCCATCTACATTTAGAGAAATAAAAGTGTGGTGAAACCAGTGAGGTTTCACCAGTCGTCCCCCCCAATAGTCACTAAGAGGGAGCAAAACAAGAAGCAGAAATTCTCAGCTTCAGTTTTTCAGCTCATCTGTGAACTCTTAGGCCAGCCACCCTCTTAGACTTAGCCGACATCTTCTATGTGATGGTGTGAATATTCCTCTATCAACGACATTTTATTCCACCTTTCCTCCAAGAAGCATCAGTAGTTTCCTCCCTCGGTTTTGTGCTCACAGCAATACTGGTTAGGCTGGGAAAGAAAGAGAAAGCAGGCGGAAGTCACTCAATAAGATTCACGACTGAGTGGGGTTTTGCACTTGGGGTTCCCTGATCATAGTCAAACACTTTGATTACTATGCCAAACCAACTGTCTGACAGGGCTGTTGCAAGGATTACTGTGAGTAAGCTCCATTCTAGGGTTTCATCCACTAGGTCCCAGCACGGGTTTCCCCAGTTTTGGGGGCTCCAATCTGCCACTGGCCAGCTGGCCTGCAGGGGGAAGCCCCACCACAAGCCCTGCCCCCAAGCCTGACTGCCAATAGCCACCCCTCTCCTTCCCCTCCTGCAAGATTTAAAGGGCCCTTCAGCTGATCAGCGGGGAGAATGTGGCCTACTGGTCAGCTGGAGGACCCTTTAAATCTTGCAGTGGGGAAGGGTGCATGCCACCCCCCACTTCTTCTCAAAAGCATTTAATTGCTTTGAGAAGAAGTGGGGGTCCCGATGCTTGGAGTGCAGATGTGCATGGCTCCCCCTTTCTCCCCCAAAGCATTTAAAGGGATACTTTAAATGCCTCGGTGGAGAAGCAGGGTAATCCAAGCTGAAAATTCACAGCTTGGGGCACAGGTGCTGGTCCCCAACATGATGATGTCACTTATGTGTGATGTCATCCCTTTGTGCCGCCCCCCCCGAACAGCATCCAAAGTCCCCTGCTGGGCATTCGGAGGGACCTGGCAACCTAGTATATTCAGTAGATTTCAGTAGGATTCTGAGCACACCTACTTAAGACTACACTGTGCATGTATGAAATGTTTTCAGCTATAACACACTGATCAAATGATGATGACTGCATGTATTCATAATCAGTCGTGCTATATACAGGATTCTGTAGTTTGCCCATACATAAGTTTTCAGTCCATTCTAGTCCTGCACTTTTTCTGTTCCTTGGACTTTTGGAGCAGGTAGACATTTACCACAGGCACCCATTCAACTAGTTTAACTAGTTTATTTAAATGATTAAATCGATCTGTGCCTTTTAAATATGGGAGGGCTGTGCTAAGACAGCTTGCCCATGGCTGTCTTTTCTGGAAGACCCATCCTGACTCCTAATTCAGCCAGCTTCTTCTGCCAGCTTTGTTTATCATTGCCTGCGCACCATGTGCCAAGAGGTGCCTAGCCCAATCCCCCTTACATGATGCACTGCACTGCACAGCACCAAGGGCCACTCCTTCCCAGCCATACCTTGCCAGACAGCCAGTGAT